TATTTTTAGATAAGGAAACTGAGGCTCAGATGTATGAAGCAACTTGACCACGATTCCACTAATGATGAGTGGCATATCTGGGATTCTGAAAGTCAAAGTTATATTTCCCCCTCTTCTGTGTGATTACTCTGTAGACAAATGCCTACAGGATTTGAAATGGGATGGTGATCAGAGAAAACTTCAGAGAAGAGGTCAAATGGGATGGCTTTGAAGAATTAGTTGGAATTGGGACAATGGAAATAGTTAGGAGAGAGGGGACCTAGCATTGCAGGTAGAAGACATAATGGATAAAGGCTCCATGAGCATTGTTTTGTCTTTGTTCTGTGAGCTCATCTCCCCAATGTCCCCTGCCTGTTCATACATCTTGGACAGGTATATGAACTACCGTATTGGGTTCTGACACGGTTGTTTTGTTAAGACCACTCTACCATGACTAGGTAATGGGATCCCTTCTAAAGGGGGATGGATTTCTGAGTACCTCATTTATGGAAGAGAACATTCTTCTGATGGAACGTTGATTCTCCCAGTTTTGGGGAGGGAACATCAGCTTCTTTCAAGTCTACATCTTTGGGAGTCTGGACTTTGAGATGGGTTCAAGGGCCTTACTGAGCGGTAAGGAAAGATTCTTACTTCTATCTTGAGGCAGAGGGTTCATAGTAAGTGGTCTTCCCATAGAAGATATTTTGGAAGACACAGCTGAAGATATTCTAGAAGACAGATTATCTTGCTTCATTTACTCTACTTCCTTTTTGTAATGTGAACTTCAGCAAAGGTTTATTTAAATGCTTAAAATTGATCTTGGCAATGTTATGCCATTTGAGCCAAAACCAGTAAGGCCCCCTGAAGTCAGGGTGATGAGGGTAGCAGTAATCCATTCTCTCTCCCCAACAGTATCTATATTATTACTAATCCCAACAATATCTGTATCAACATACATTTTGAAAATACTGGCACTTGTATATGTGAGCTATTTTTTATGTATTTTACAGAAAGTGTAGCTTGTGCTTATGGATTTTCTGATATTTTTGCAGTAACTCTGAAGCTTCCCTCCCAGGTTAAGACACACACACAAACACATACCTATCTGCCTCCTAGCCTTAGTGACAGAGTTTCTTATTATATATTTTACCAAATGCCTCATAGGAAATGGAGGGCTGAGGTTGCAGTAGGAAGGCCATCACAGCAATGACAGTCTTTTACAAGGTGCAGAGGCAGTGGCCACCTCCCTGCTTTCTACAAGTACATATCCCTGCTTTCTCTTCAGTACGTATTGGAGAAAGACCAAACTTCTTACCCAGGGATTTGAAAACTTCCCGGACAGAGCCTAAACATCCATTTCTAGATTTTTTTTATTAGAATTTCCTTTACCAAATGCTTTATTTTTCTGCCAACACTCATTTTTTTCTCATTTCTACTTCTTGCTTTATATAAAATACCCTCCTCGTGAAAATACCTGCCAGTCCCTCAAAGCCAGGTTCACCTCTTCCCTGAAGCCTTACCTGACTTGGTCCTAGCCTGTTTCTTACTTCCTGGTACCATTCATCTTGTTACTTAACTATACTCTTATTTTTCACTTACTTAGATTTACTTCGATTCAGTTCAGTTCATACTTGTTAGCACTTTCAGAGTACCACACAGCAGGCCAGTTTCCAGGATTATAAACAGAGTGAAAATTCTGTCTCTGCTACTAAGAAACTAAGTAGTTTCCTCTTATACATTTTAGATCCTCAACTTTACTGTGAGCATTTTATTTTTATATACCCTATTGCATCAAGCAGGTAGAAATAGTTTAAAAATACATCTGAATCGAGATAATAGGAAGTCACTGATGAGATCTCTCAGGGGTTATGTATTGAAAGTCTTAAATCTTAAAAATGATTGAATTCTGTGGCTGTAGATTTCCCTTTGACCATGGCGAGGGGGCTGATTAGAAGATAGTCAGGTATTGGCTCAACACTGAACCTGTTTAGGGAATCCACCCTAAGCTCAGGTGGAGGGTAGAAAGGCAAGCGATCTTTCCTTAGGGGTTCAAAGAGGGAGAGACTGATCAAAGAACACCGCAGAGCTAGACTATGAAGGGTCTGGGTGCCTAGCACCAGTTCACTGTGTTGTTTGTAATGTATGAATGCTGACAGAATCAGAAATGACTGGATTTGGGGTTTAAAGAAATGGATACCTCAATTTCTTCTTGGCTGCGTCATCTATATGTCCACTTTGGACTGCCTCTCTTCCACATCCTCTGTTGGGCGGAAGCATGGCACACCAGACTCTCCCAGCAATTCCCCGTAGGCTGGCAGAAGGGACTGCCCATGAGAAATGCCCAATAAAATATGTCACTTGACTTTAAGTTTTCCAATCAAATGACCCCAGTAGGATCAAGCGACTTTTCTCCCAAAGCACAGATGGCAATGGAGGAAGCAAGAAAAGCAGAGGGCCCTTGGCACACACGCATTTCATTTATATCTTATCTTTGAGCAGTAAATCCCACCAACGCTCCAGTGTTCCACTTGTAGGAATACTCACACATACCCACTGAGAGGACCTGCCTTACCTTCCAAACTCATGTGTGACAGCCGCAGAGGAATCAGGGGGGAAGAAGTGAACATTTCCATATCTCACTAGTGAAATAGTTAAAACTGGAGCAAAGCCATTCCGAATCAATAGCCCTTCTTGGCCATCTGCCTTAGGGAAATTGCTTCAACTCCTTGAATTTCAGTTTCCTCACCTCACTTCTAAAATGTGGATAATAGTAACTATGCCACTAGAAGTTTTACTCAGGTGTTCAGTGTCATCTTGTTTGGTTTTAATGTTATAGAAAGATGGGAAATTCAAAAGGTAATGTTCCTGTTCTCTGGCACATTCCACATGTCCTGCATTCAGGAGTTTTGTGCTCCCTCGTTCCTAAAGGAATTACGTTTCTTTGTATATTAGGCATTCCCCTCTGCCAACGCCATCACCACCCAGAGCTTTGTTTAGAAATCAGACATAGCTGTGGACAGGAAAGAGGAAATTAAGTGGCGGCTGATTTTTAGTTATCTCAGGTGGGTTAAGCAAAATTTGATTTGAATGAAAAAATTAAAAGCATGTGATAGTATTGGTACATCAGTGTTATGGAAGAAGATCATATCGGAATTAATGTAAGGGCTGAAATCAGCATATGTGAAAGTACCTAGCCCAGTGTCTGACTCAAAGCCTGGTCTCAAAAAGTGCTTATTTCTCTTTTCTGCCTGTTTATTTGTACTTTGTTATTCAGGAAATGCCTGTCAGTTGAGCCATTTGAAATCCAAATATCTACCCTCTATTTAGACCAGCTATCAACAAACTGGATCACTTGTACCCCTAGTGTGCACAGAAACTCCTAGAGGGGTAGAGTGGGTTGAGAGAGATTTAGGGAATATGTTTCTAGATCCTCAAGCTCTACATTTACTTTTTCCTATAATTGATCAGCCTGAATTAGACGTCATTCTAGGTCTCTTTCCCCATTTTCCTTTCATAATCACCTTTCTACCACTTGACAGAAGAGAGGCATACCTCCCACCATTTCTGAATCTTACTGAGTCGGAATACTGTGTTGCCTGGGGAGAGGTTCTCAAATAAAGCAAAAAACAGAAATGGGAAAAATACGTGTTGGCAGAAAAGGAGAGCATTTGGTAAAGGAAGGTGCAATGAAAAAAATCTAGAAAGAGAAATGTAGGCTCAATTTGTGAGGTTTTCAAATCCTTGGCTGAAGGATTTCTCCCATATGCACTGAAGAGTCTTTGTGGAAAGCAAGGAAGTTGCCAATGCCTCTGCATCTTGTAAAAGACTGTCATTGCGCTGATGGCCTTCCTATTGCAACGGAGCCCTACATTTCCCATGAGATATTTTGTAAAATATGTAATATATATTTTGTAACAAATATATATGTTATATGATATGTAGTATATATTGTGTTTATATATTATTACAAGATATATCTCTAGTAAAATTTTACTTTTTATTCAATAATTATCAAATTTTGTAATATATTTATGTTGTTTGGAACAGTTTTGTGCTACTAATAATCTTAATGTGTAATTCAATCTAGAAGAAATTATAAACATAAGAGTATTATGGAAATAGGAAATTAAAAATATAAATACATATCTGAATAACATGTATACTTTTGTCGTAGAGAACTATGATAGGGTGATCAACAAAGCATGGAGATGTACTTCTTTTTTTTTCTTTCTTTTTTAAATGTTTATTTACTCTGAGAGGGGGTGGGGAGGAGTGGGGGAGGAGCAGAGAGAGAGAGAGAGAGAGGGAGACACAGAATCCGAAGCAGGCTCCAGGCTGTGAGCTGTGAGCACAGAGCCTGAAGTGGGGCTCGAACCCCTGGACCGCTAGGTCATGACCTGAGGGGAAGTCAAACGCATAACCGACTGAGCCACCCAGGCGCCCGGAGATATATTTCTTTGAACAAATTCTATGAGGGCATTCTCTTTAGTGACTAAAAAGTAACAGTGTGAAATATATGTTAAAAGCAGTGTTCATTTACCTACTTTCAAGTGGATGGATATCAAATCATTGTAGTATTTAGATTTCATTGGACAGATGTATAAAGAGTTTTGTTTTTATATGTTACTATTTACAATACACTGGAAATATCACCCTTTGCAATGATTTAAATTTATGATGAGAAATTTTAAAGGACAGAAGTTAAAAATGTGTGAATGGGTACTTTCAAACTTTGGAAGTAAATAATCCAAAAAATTTGAAGATTACTATTACAGGTAGCGTGCAAAATGCAGTTTGGTTAAGGCTGGTGCTCTCCTTACAGTGGGTAGCCAGGAGTAGGTGGGGAGAAGTGGGGAGAAATGGGGAGAAGTGAAGCAGGGGAAATTGTACCACTATATGTAGTACAGTGGACGTACCATAGAGGGGCGCTGGAGGACTGGAAGACAGAGAGGCGTCGGCTGGGATGGGCGGGACACGAGTGGCTCTTGGAAAAAGCGCGGGGCAAACAAAATGGCGGCCGTTAGACTGAAAGGGGCGGCTCCGCAGAGATTTGGCCAGGTTAGTGACAGCGAATTGGTTTGGAGGAACAGCTGCTGTCAGGACAGGCTTCCAGCGAGATGGGACATGAAGGGGTTCCAGCCATGCCGCGTGGGTGAGTTGGAGTCAGTGCTAGTGGAAAGGCGTCTTTTTTTTTTTTTTTTTTTCACTTGGGAGATGCGGAAAGGCCCGTTTCTGAACACTCGTGGCTCAACTAACGCAGAGCAGTCTGTGTGTCTTACACATAGAAGTGAGAACACCTCAGAATTTCACACACTACTTAGGAAAAGGTGGAAGGTGTTAGTTGGTTGCCATGAATGGGTTTGCCAACCGAAGAAGCCCAGGGACCCTTGGTGATTATGATGACATCCGTGTAAATACGAACTCGCTCTCCAAAGCCAATCGATATTTGGTTAATTCAACTTATTAACTTTGGGAAAGAGTACTCATATCTCAGAGTTTTCTGATCTGCTGGGAAAGTAGGGGCTATTTTCCATGAAAGTAGTGACCTGGGAGAGTTCCTGCAAGGTTTCACAGATTATGGCACTGCAGAGACAGTTTCCTAAGTCTTGATATCAGGTGTTCAGTTGCAGCTTGTTTATCAGATTTGAAACAAATCTAGTCAAATACAAACATAAAAATATCCCCAAAACAGAAGTACCTGTTTAGATTATCTCTAATTTCACATTATCTAAACCCTGATTTCTATTCCACGTTCTCCCTTTCTTTTAGTAAATGAGTGATCATATGATTTTATTTATATTTTGTAAATACTCCCAAGTTTCCCAGAAACTACTTTTGCCTATAGAGGGAAGTCTAACTTTTTAGTCTGGTATCAGAGGCCTCCATAATTTGCCTCAGTCTATATTTCTTATTTTATTTTCCGTCACTTTCCCATGTGAAACAGCGGCTCAGTCTGGCTGTTTCACTGCCATCTGAATATTACATGAGGGTACAGTAAGAGCCAGATTAATATACAAACAAAGGATGGTAGAACATCATTTTCGATAAGGCGATAAAGGAAGGTTTCATAAAAGAGATGACATTTGAATTGATCTTTGACATGCTGGATTTTTTTTTTTAATTTTTTTTTTTAACTTTTTTCATTTTTGAGACAGAGAGAGACAGAGCATGAACGGGGGAGGGTCAGAGAGAGAGAGGGAGGCACAGAATCTGAAACAGGCTCCAGGCTCTGAGCTGTCAGCACAGAGCCCTAGCAGGGCTCGAACTCACGGACCGCGAGATCATGACCTGAGCCGAAGTCGGCCGCCCAACCGACAGAACCACCCAGGCGCCCCAACATGCTGGATTTTCAAGGCGTGGGCTTAGAGTAAAATACTGAGCTATTGGTGAGGAACTAGGTGTGGCCTAGCTTTCTAGGACGTTTACTCCAACAATAGACACCAGGAGGTCAGATACCATTTGGCCTTTTCTTATTACATACCGCACCACAGTGGTAAAATTGCCTACATTAGATGTATATTTAGGTCTCTTTCCACACATGGAGTTGTGAAGTAGAACTTTCTGAGATCTGATCCATTACTAGGCAGAATTTGGTATAGGGCACTTCTGTTTAGTATCCTATTTGTGTTGGTTTATTATTACTATAATCACAGAACAATTCCATTCTTATATTTCACCTACAGTACTTTCATATAGGTGATATCCAGGAGTACCCCTTGGCAGGATGGTGATTCAAGTTTTTTTGTCAGCCTGAGATTAAAAAAAAAAAAAAAAAAAAAAAATGACCCAGAACAAGGAACCTGAGAGTACAGATTCTAGATCTGGCACTGCCACTGATGCTAATAAAAACAAGATAATTATTTTTCCCCTCCTTAATTTCTGCACCGGGGGAAATATACGATAATAACTTCCTGGCCTATTTGTAAAAGTGCAGTAAATATATGCAAAAATATTTCCAAGGAATTAAAAAAATTGCTAAAATGTAAAGGATCAAATTCCAGGCTCTTTGTTTTCTCTGAAGGTATAATTAGGAAATCTGAAAAACAGCCATTTATTTAAATGCATTAGGTGTTATAGGTAAAGACCATGAGAGCTGGGACTTTGTTTCTCTTATGTTTCCAGTGCCTAAATAGTGTCTGTCACATAGTAGGTATTAATTGTATGTTTCTAGAATGAAGGAATGAACAAGTGACTGGAGGCATTCAGGGGCCTCCTTCTAGCTGGCTGACCTGGCCGCCAAAGCTCTGTGTCCAGCTGTCTGGCTGAGTGGAGTCTATGAACTGTGTGTTTGCTTAAGGATATCCTGCTTCCACCTGCTTTTCTCCCTCACTGTTTTATAATGGTAATAGATAACATTGCTTGGGGACCAAATCTGTGCTAAAAGCTGTGAGGTGCTTTACATAAACGATCGGTAATCCTCATAATCCTGAAAAGATGTGCATCCTTATTTTAAACATCAGAAACTCATGCTCAGAGAAACTAAGTAATATACTAAAAATCATAGCTAATGCATCAATTTGGATAGGCTAGGTTATACTGTAGTGGTAAACAACCTACACATCTCAGTGACTTAAAATAAACAAAGGTTTATTTTTTGTTTCTGTCACATGTTCACAGTGAGTCAGCAGGAGGGCCCTACTCAATGTAGTGGGGTCATTGATGTAGCAGAGCCGCAACCATCACAACTCTTGCTATACCACAGGAAAAGGCATCTCTACAGAATGTCATACCAGCCATAAAAGGTTGGCCTAGAAGTGACATACATCCCTTCTTCTCACAAAACATTTGCCGGGATTCGTCATATGACTCCACCTAACCTTAGGCAAGCTAGGAAGTGTAGTCCTATCATATGCCTGGAAGATAGAGTGAGAAATTTGGGAGGCAGTGCAAATGATTACCAGCTCTAGTAAGTGGAAGGCTTGGTTTCTGAATCCAAAAGTTATCTGACTCCAAAGCCAGATTTCACAAAACCTTATTGCTTTACTCAGTTTACCTAGAATTCTGGAATTGCGAAATATCTGTATCATTTGACTTTCTGTTGCTTTTCAGTGAGGGTTGTCTTCTTGAAGCAACCTAGGCTGAATCTTCCTGGGCTGAGAATAACTCTTCCTTCTCAGTTGTCATAAGGTGAATCACGACCCCTTTGGCCTTTGGCAGATGAGGGCTTGAAAGGCAGACCCTCTGGGGTAGGCACTGTCCCCAACCATGCTCTCTTCTGCTTGTGTATCTGTAGCGGAAATGTTATTAACATCATGTTTTGCTCTTCTAGTTCCACAGCTGCTGGAGTGACTTAGCAGTTGGCTAGGCATACCCTGAACTACAGAAGATGTATGCTGGGCCAGAAGCAGGCCTTCTTCCTGCAGACTTGGAAGGAGCTGATGACAAAGGCCTGCCAACAGTGCTGTGACTGTAAGTTAGGATCATTCACATTTCCATCTTTGTAGGCAGCCTGTGATGTGAATTTGGAGGCTCCCCAGCAAAGAGCCATGAATTAGAAGTCAAGAGCTTTGAAGTCATTCCTGGCTCTATCATCACTAGTTGTGTGACCTTGGGCAAGTAATTTAATCTCTCAGAAGTCTGAGTTTTCTATCTGGAAAAAGAATATTAATTCCAACATCCAGGTTTTTAAGATGAAAACTGCCAATTTGTGCAAAATGTGAATGCTGACATCTGAACAACACTTAATCTTTTACAGAGCTTTTCTTCTGCTACCCTGCTATGCAGACATAATTACTGTGATTTCCTCAGTGAAGAAACTCAGTCTTGTAGGATCAGGTGAATTGCCCAAGGTCTCACAATTAATAAATAGCAGAGGTAGGACTTGAACATGTCTTCTGTCTCCAAATATGATACTCTTTTCCCTGATCTGAGTCATTGACTAGGATGATCCACAGGATGTGAAAAAGAACATATAAGTAAAGAGAATGGGTAACAAAGAGAAAAACAGTAGAAGATTTGGACTCTTGAAGACTAAGTTTGAATCCATTTATTGGTTTATAGTCCTGGAAAAGCCACTTCCTCTCCTCCCCTCCCCTCCCTCTCTCTCTTTCTTTCTTTCTTTCTTTCTTTCTTTCTTTCTTTCTTTCTTTCTTTCTTTCTTTCATGTTTGGCAAAAGTAGGTAGGGCTTATAGTTATCTGGTACACACTGGTATAGCCATACTGAATATTAAAATATTGAAATCCTTCTGTACTGTTTGGTGGATAGCTACTCTAACTGGCCCCTCCTTTAAGATCCCCACCTATCTCCTCTTTCAGTAATAAAAACATCAGTGTGGGGCTCAGCAGGAGGCATTAAGGACCCACTTCATTACAGGGCTATGGTTGGTCCCAAGCTATATTCATTGTTAAATATTTTTAATATGATTAATGAGCGGGGACAATAGTCATGTTCTTCCCAACTTCAGTGGGCTGCTCTTGAAGATCAGATAATATAAAACAATGAAGATGACATACCAGCTGTAAACCTTAAGGGCAATGTTTTTTAAAATATCATAGCAATGGTCTCTGGAAAGAGAATTCTGTGGTATTGAAAATATCACATAGGTTTTTACCTTGGTGGGATTTGTTGCCTATTAGCCTATTCAAGATTCTGAGACATAAAGGAACTTATTTAAAATTTTTAACTTTGAATTTCCTAATAGTTGAGAATAGAGCTCATTTCCTCCACTCTAATACACTTCTCACATCCTCTGCTAATTTTGTGAATCTAGGTTTTTGACCCTGAGCTTATTGTTTTCTCTATATTTACTTATTTTTGTATGGTATGTCTTTCTATGCACTGGCCCACAAGGTTCCTATCCCAGATGCTGCTTCAGTACAGAGTCAGAGGCAGTCAATAACCTATGGCAGGTTTATCATAGAACAGAGGTTTCTGGAGTCTAATATCCTAGAAAAATAGGAACAAGGAAAATAGTACATCATCAATAACAGTTGCAGATATTTATTGAGTGCTTTTTATACATGGAGGATGCTGCTGAGTGCTGTACATATTCTACTGGTCATGGTATTTGTCCCTCCATTTCACCCCACATGTTAGTCTAAGCCATGGGGCAGCAAACTATGGCCCATGGGCCATCCATTCCTAGGCTTGTTTTTGGAAGAGCTAAGAATATTTTAAATATTTTTATAGGGTTGAAAAAAGAAGAATATGCTACTGAGGTTGTATGTGGCCCACAAACCCTAAAATTGTTACCATTTTACCTTTTACAGAAAAGTGCCAATACATGGTAATCCCACTTTGCTTCCTAGTGGTTGGAATAGAGTTAGGCATGTGGTCCATTCAGACCACAAATGTTTATTGAGGCCTAACCACTATTTTGAATGTTGAAGAGACATCAGTAAGCAAAACGGACAAAAATTCCTGCCCTTGTGTATTTTACTTTCAGTTCTAGTTAATGAGCTATAAGTCTATTGTTGTTTGGTAAAGGCTTCTCACATTCTTGTAGGAAATAGTGAAAAAGATATTCATTTCCAGTTTAGATGTTTCCCTCTTTAAATGTGATACTTCTAACTTATGATCACAAGGGAAGCCAGTTTGAGAGTCAACAACACATCAAGGGTGACCGAAGAGAAGGTTAAAAAGAAATTAATTACACTGCTGAGTCAATACACCTTGAAATCTGTCATAAGACTTCCCAATATTAAATTTTTCTTTAAGTCCTTTTAAATAAGTTTTCTGTTACTTGAATTAGCAAACAGCATATGTGTACACATACATTATCTAATTTAATTCTCATGACAATCCTATGAAATATTTATCATTCTCATTTTACAGAAGAAGAATGTGAAGATCAGAGAAATTAACTAATTGCATAGTCAACACAGTAAGTGGTAGAGCCAAGAGGAAAACTCTGATCTCTGAGTTTTGCAGTTCTCTCTAAAACTCAGTCTCTCCTTTTTAAGTAATTTCTAAGCAGTAAGGATTGTCAGAGGTCAAGACAGGAAGTCAATATGGGGACAGTTTTTATGTCCTGAGCCTGTGTATATAACTGCATTACTGAGTTTCATCCTCTTTCTTAGACCTAGAATAATCTTTCTTTACCCCTATCCCACAATGAGAAGGCAGAGTTTTTCCATTTATTGAGAAGTCATTGACCTAAGACAGTTGTATTAATGTATGTAAGGAACCAGGCACTGAAATCTCCCAGCAGGGAGCAAATCTTTCTTTGAATCTATATATAAGATCAATCTGTTTTCTCCATTTTTCCTATCACCATTTAGATTCCTTCTCACCTTGTTTACCTGGCCTGTGCTCAAACCACTCTGACCTTCCAACCCAATTTTCACACTGTAACTAGAAGATAAAGGCAGTTTTTCAATATGGCTTTCAACAAAGCCTGTTCAGCTTTATCTTTCTTCAAGCATCTCCTGCTTTGTCTGTTTCAGCCACACCAGCCTTTGTCAGCCATCAGCTTCTGCCTGCAATGATCATTCTTTCCTTCTATGCCCAATAACACCTATTTGTCTCTGGCTCAAGTTTTATTTTTTTATGCAATCCTTTATTGATCTCGCTATTAGATTGACTCCTCTCATTAGCCCTCACTGTGCCATGGCACATGGCACAGTTATAGTGTTCTACTAGTTTGTGTGATTATCTGTTTAATCTGTGTACCATATTTTATGTAGGAGACCAGTGGCCACATTTGTTACCATTGTAAACCCATTGTCTAGTACACAATAGGTGCCCAATAAATAGTTGTGGAATGAATGTATAAATGTAAAGGCATCTTGTATTTGTTCAGTGATCTAAAGCATCAAGTAAATTCTAGAGCTCAGGTTGTATCAGTTTGAAAACCTGCAGGAAATACATGAGATCCTCAAATGGAACAATTGAGGAAAATTTAATTTAGGAACTGTTTATACAGGTGAAATAGGCTTAAGGGAAAGTAACAAAGGATGATAAAGCATCCTGGGGCTCGCAACAGTGGGGTTGGTACCCCTAAACCTGAATGGTCAAGTGAAGGGAGAAGTTTCATCCCAAAGAGAATAGGTGTGGTTCTAGAAGAGAGCCACAGGGTAGGAATGGTGGATATTGTAGATAAACCCAGCCAATTTGAAGGACCTCTCTAGTGTCCATTGATGTTAGAATTAAAAGAAGAAGGAGAACATGATTATCATTCTCTTTTCTCCCTTAACCTCCATCTAGTGCCTCCCAGTGGGTAAACCTAACTGAAAGCCAGAGGGTAGGGAACTAAATGATAGTCCTTAAAGGCCACTTCCCAGGGCACAAAGCTGAGTGGAAAATGGATCTGGTAGGACAAATAAAAAATATCCAGCCATTGGTCCTTGGGACAATTCCATATTTTGCTAAGATGACACTAAAGGGTAGCTTGGAAAGTTTTAATTTAATATAACAGAAAGGAATTACTAAAGTTAGAGTTTCATAGGTAATTGAGGCTATAGAAATTTTCTTATCATGGACATTCCATGATAACTGTGAATAAGTGAAAAGTACATGGGATTCTTAGTTAAACATAAGATCAAGTCATTGCTTTGCCACTACAAACTTTGGTAGTTTGGTGTTCTTGTTTGTAGAGTGAGGATTATAGTGCTCATGTCATAGGGTCATTTTAAAAATCCAGTGCCTGGCACATGGTAGGTGCTCATGAAATGGTAACTCCTGTGAGAAAGATATGTAGTTATTACCTGCTAGAGCCTTGCACTATGATAAAGTCTCTCCCTGAGAACTCTTGTTGTCATTAGGCAAGCAAGACCATCAGGGATGGAGAAATTAGAAACTAAGAAGGCCAGGGAATAATCAAATATCAATTGCAAGTTAAAATCCACAAGAAAGATTCAGGTCACAAGCCCTGCAGCTCTGCCATGTAACTGGACCACTCCTCACCTTTGCCCCTTCCCCACCCCACCTCCCACCCACATCCTAGGATCTTTAAGGAACCTTCCAGTTCTAAAGACTAGTGCATTGTAGATCAGGAGGATCATATACATCAGTCAACTACTGAGTCTTTCAGCTGTGTGCAGTTAAACCACAGGCTATTGAAGCCAGTAATAGCAGGAGCAGTTTAGAACTCCTTAGTGGGCAGTTCTACCTTAAGACAGTAGTGACATCACACCACTTAGCTCAGATGCATTGTGTGACAGTGACAACTTTTCCCCCACTTAAGTGAACCCCTGTTTGCTTACTTGGTGCCAAATGGCTCACATACAAACACTGAAGGACAGATTAAAGACCACATTGTACTTTACTTTGCCATTTCATGAAGGGCATTATTTTCCACGTTGATAAAATCTGGAAGGAAGAATAAAGGACAATGGACTTTTATTTTAACCACTAAACATTCACTGTATCCCACAGAATGCCTCGGGCTTTGTTCTACCACTCTTGGTCTTGAGACTTTTGCCATTAGGAAAAGTAAAGACATCTGGCTCAGAGGTTATCCCTAGGGGG